ATTAAAATCTTTACGATACGAGTATCGTCTAAAGAATACATAAATCTCCCCTTAATAACATTACTATCAGTTTTATCTACATGTACATAGATATTATAGCTACTCTGGCCAATAGGAATGATATATCATTATTTTATTGTATATCATTCCTATTGGCATTATATCCATTATATTTGTATACATACATTAATGCTGTAACAATTTTAAGAAATTATTAAAATGCTAAAATTGCTCTAGAAAGCAATTGTAGCATTTTAATTTACCATTAATAAAAGTTGGTGTAGATGCCAAGTTCTCGATAAAAATAACTTATAATGTCGATCATAAGAACCTATCTATTTTTGAGAGATATAATCAAATGTTTTTGACTACACAGTCATAACTAAATTTTACAGTAATAATATAGTAGATATCGAAAAATATTTGCAACGTAATATTTGTTTACTGCGCTATTCTTCATTCGTATTTTTAAGGTCTTTTCTAATTTGTTGCATGAATCTATTACAATTTATGATTAAACACCAAAAATATAAAGGTTTATTTTATTTTGGCGCCGACCACATAACGTCTTACCCTAAATGTCAAAGCTCCATAGACTATGGTTACCTACAGAAGCGGGCTTTGTGCTGCAGAAGCGGGCTGTTCAGTGTTCGGGGTATTTGTTGTGTTCCTCCGAGGGAGTCGGTACGGAATAGGTTTAAGGAATTAAGTATTATGACACTATCTGGTCAATATATTCTTGAAGCCTTGTTGTATGTCCAAAAAAATATAAACGATTTTAAAACAAATGGTGACTTTCACCAGTATAATACGCGAAATAGAACTAATTTGAGTGTACGACCAACCAGGCTCCAAAAGATAAACCACTCCTTATATGGAAATTGTATTCGTTTTTACAACAAACTCCCAAGCAAAATTAGAGTATTATCACTAAATAAATTCAAAGCCCTCGTTAAACGGAAATTAATCAATAAAGCTTTTTATAAATTTGGGGAATACTTAAATGATCCTAATCCTTGGGATTGATTTGCTCCAGTTCAAACAATTTGTATGACAATACTTGGCGATTAAAAAGAGTGGCGGAAAGTTTCTTGCCAGTTCTTCTTACCCGCTCTACGCCCTTGACTTGCGAACTGGTAGTAAATGGAAATTTACAATTAATTTAACTTGACAATTCGTAAGTGTATTTGTTTACCTACACGAATAAAGATATTTTGAGTTTGAGTTTGAGTTTACAGAAAATATGATTTTCTTCACTAAACAGTTTTTGATGTCCAACTAGGTTGTGAGGATGTGAGGTTAATGAAAAAGAATCGATTAAATAGAAATACATTTTTCTTAATTCTTAAAATTGAATTGTCAAAAATCATTATTTTTTAGAAATAAATAATCGATTTCTGCGAAAAAAACGATTTTTTTCTAATATTTAAAAATCTACATGCTTTTCATATTCCAATAATAAACCTAAGAGTTGAAAAATTTATTAGGTTAAAAATAAAATAAAACGATAAGAATAAAAAAATAACCAATTCAATACTAAATATGAAAGCGGATGATTCTTTTTGAACATTTGCAAATTACATTTGATTAAAATAATTATTACCATAAATTTTCATGTAAGCAGTTTAAAAATAATAATTTTAATAATCTCTTTCCTAAAATACGGTTTCGTGTTTTCTTGACCATATTTCCCGCTTTGAAAAATAATCTTTCGGATGGAGCAGAAGTGGCCATCACATAGAAATGCTTTAGAGCCAATTCGGTTGGCTTAGGAAAAGTCTCTTCAGAGCTCTCCCAGACATTGAGAGTATCTACCATAAGATCCGATAACGGTGCCTCAACGTATAGGTCCAACTCGGTATTTTTGACTATTGATGGGTTAGATGCCAAGGCCATTATTTTTTGGATGTTTTCGAATCTTTTATAAAAAATCGATTACTATTTCTATGAAAATCGATTATAAAAAATCGATTATTAGAAAATAATAATTTAAATAAAAATCGATTATTTTTTAATATCCCTATGTCCAACTTGCAAATGTACATAAATACGTAGTTGGTCCCAAAGTTCTGTCACTGGCACATTATTTCTATATTTCGAGCAGGATTTTATAAAAAAGTTATTGCATTCTATTTTGGAATGTTTGACTATTGTTTTAAAATAAAAAACAATAACTTTCAGTAAGTTTTCACGACGGAGTGGACATTGAAAGAAGACCGAATAGTTGTTATTGTGTTGCACCGCTGTGGGCACTCGCCGAGTACCATTTTCAAGTTGCTCAAAAATTTTAATATAACGCTTAGGTTTGTGTACGGTACTATTGATAGGTACCTTGAAGTCTCCATTGTTGAGGACAAGAAAATAACTGGCCGGCCACGCTCCGCAAGAACACCAGCAGTAATCAAAGCTATCAAAGCGCGGATAGTAAGAAATTCTGTCCGAAAACAGAAGTTGATGGCTTTGCAGATGGTTGTCAGTAGGAAAACAATAAAAAAGGTTTTAAATGAAGATCTTGGTCTACGAGCATACAAAAAAAAAAGTGGGAACTTACTTAATGCTCGTCTAAAAGCAATAAGGCTTAAGAGATCGCGGGTGTTGTTTAAGCGGTACGCGAAAAACCGACACCGTGATATCCTCTTTACGGACGAAAAAAATTTCGATAATGAAGAGAAGTACAATAAACAGATTGATACAGTGTACGCTAGGAGTTCTGAAGAAGCTAAAAATAAAGTTCCAAGGGTACAACATGGACATCATCCATCATCAGTAATGGTCTGGTTGGGAGTGTCCTATTACAGGCTAACTGAGGTTCATTTTTGCAAAAGGGGGTCAAAACCAGAGCTAAAGTGTACCGAGAGACGGTTTTGGATCGTCCTTGTCAAAGACCTGTCCAGCACCCTATTTGCGGGACATCACTTCGTGTTCCAGCAGTACTCTGAGCCTGCATACAAAGCCAAGACCACTAAAGCCTGGTTTGAGCGTCAAAACATCGATTTAATTAGACATGAGGATTGGCCTTCCTCCAGTCCGGACCTTAATCCTTTGGACTATAAATTTTAGCAGGTCTTAGAGAGGAAGGTCTGTGATACACCCCATAAAAATTTGGAGAGTCTGCAGTCGTCTTTAAAAAACTCAGTCAATGAAATCGACATGAATATGGTGCGTGCTGCGATAGACGACTGGCCGCGGCGCTTAAGGGCCTGTATTAAAAATAAGGGAGGTCATTTCGAATAAGTTTATGCTATTTCTATTCCTTAATTAATGAACTATGAATTGATATATCACTCATTAAAAACTGATCAGTACTTTTGTTTTTATGATTATTTCCATTTATGACAGAACTTTGGGACCGACTACGTACATTGTTGTTCATTTAAATTTACAAGTCAGAGCACCGCTTTAACTTTTGTATAAATATTATAATAATTTTAGTAAACTTTTGTAATATTATTCTTTAAAATTCAAACTTTTTACATTATTTTTTGTTTTTGTTCAAAAATAATTCTTGATGACCCTAAAAAAATGTTTTAAAAAGCTTTTCATGTATTATAATAATACTATAAAACTATTTATAATAAATTAAGTTTAAAGTTCGAAGGATATGTATGTTATATTGAAACTGAGATCTACAAATGAAACATAAGATACAGAATGCATATTTCAGATAAATATTAGAACTAAGGTAAAACATTGGATTTTGTGGTTATGATATGCAACTAGCATACATTATCATATTACTTGGCATATGTGCCAAATAATATAGTTCAGTCATTAATGCTAGAATCATTAATGTTTAGCAGTAAACCAGCCCCAAATTTTACTGCAAACAATAATTATTTTATCTAAATAATTTACTTGAATACATGTGGGGTAGCAGTGAAATTTTAAGCTTCAAAGGTTAAAAACATAATGTAGCTTTTAGCTTACTTTTGTAAATAGTTACATGTAATAATGTATCTATTATCACCTTGATACCACCAACTTTTGTGACCAAAATGTGACCCTAAACCCCACAAAAGCAAAAATTGCATTTCTTACATCAAAAGTAAAACATATTTGTTACCTTTCAATGTTTATTTCAATACATTAAAAACTATTGTATTTAAACTTAAATTAAATACACTAAATCTTATATTACATGCATTTTATACATCACATCTACATGACCTTTTCTGAAGAGCCTTCAGAGAGTAACTCCTGTTCTGCTGTAGCTTTAGAAGCTTCTATTAAAGGTCTTCTGTATTTGAAGTACTTATAGAAATGGTCACCCAATATAACAGAACCATATAATGTTAGCCCGACACAGCAAAGAACAAAACCTCTATGCAATTTATCATATAGAACCGTGCGTGGGTACTTCTTCATGATTAGCTGAAAATAAAGAAACTTATAGTTCGCTCAGATAATATACAGATTTAAAAATATATTAAATGCGACTTACCAAATATATTTTATCTTTATATCTTTTACATAAAAGACTTTACATTTATGATTTAATGTTTATAAATATAAAATATTATAACCTCAGCTGATTTTCTGTGTCACTTTACAATTTTGTCAGTTGTCAATATTTCATCATCTTATGTCAATTCTTTGATTACAAATGAGTATTCACTGACAATCTTTGAGTACCACTAAGGCTTATGATGATGATGATGGTATTAATTTATCCCTAGTGGAAAAGGCCTAATGGAAGGGACTTTAGTCCATACAGCCAGGTATTGTTCTACTAATGCTTATGATGAGATTTGACAATTGAGATATTATTTATTATAAGTCACATGCGACAACTAAAATTTCAAAACCTGTCTCAACTGACAAATGACAACTGTGAAGTCATTCATCATTTCATATTATACTTTATAGTTAATAGCTAATTATGTATTATTCAATAAAATCATAAAAAACTAATAGTAGTAACTAGTAATTACTATTTGTGGGATTATTTAATTTAAACAATTTAAATTAGCGCAAATTAGAATAGTGTATCTGCAGAAATTATGAGTTTTAGGTCCTCAGTTTTGGTACGAAGACGAATTTATCTTCACAGGATTTTTTATAATAGTGTTAGATATCATTGCAAAGTTCCTATTACCCCCGTTGCTTCTCTAGAAAGCGACAACATCCCAAAGCCAAATATAGACATAAATACAGTTGCACTTTTGGAGCGATTATCTTTAGTTAAATGTGATACTGAGCAAGGCGTGAAAGTGTTAGAAGATTCTATCGAATTCGCAAATAAAATTCTTCACATAAACACTGACAATGTTCAGCCTTTGTATACAGTCTTAGAAAACGAGTAAGTTTCGTAGTCATTGCTTAATCCTAGTTATAAGTTGTATAAACTGTTTAGATTCAGATACTTCTACACTTCATTTAAAGTAATTTTAAATTTGTCTAAAAGTAAAATAATTTTTTTGTTTCATTTTTACCTTTCAGAAGCTTGAGCTTGCGTATTGATGCTGTTACACAAGGAAATTGCCAAAAAGATATATTAAAAAATGCAGTTATAACAGAGGATGACTACTTTGTTGCACCCCCAGGAAACATACCCCTACATGAAATTGAACAAAAAGAATCTGATATCAAAAGAAATGAAAACAGAAATTAGTAAAATCCTTAGTTTAGGAAAGTTTTTTCAAGTCATAAGTAATAAAAATAGCAATATGACATATGTGTTACAACCTTCATGTACAATTCTGATAGATAATATTTATATCAGCTGGCTTCGATCTATTTATGCAAAGGCACAATCACATTTCCCTGTTTATTTATCGGCAGTAAATAAGAAGGATTTATGCTATGGATTTATTGAAAAAATGTTTGATACATCCCCAAAACTTATTGAAATTAATGATAGAAATTCCCAATTACTAGAAAAATCTAAATTAAAGTTTAGCCTTATTGTACCAAAACAAGATGTGATGCAGTACTTTTTCCAGTGGCAAAGATATAGAAAATATTGGTGGAGTTCTGTAAGTCAATTTAGTTTATATTTTTGTAGTTTGTTTTTGTCAATATTTAAACAATGTTACTCCATCTTAAGTCCAAATATAAACAAATTAGGTAGTAATCATAACCTACAAGTTATTAAGTTTTAATTGTTTATAAATATAGCAGAACTTGGCTGGTACAATGCTATTATGCATCAAAGTTGAGAGAAAATGTTGGCGGATCTGATGAATCTTTATAAAAATATGTATCTTTTTAAATAAGATTTTTGTCATAGATTACAACAACACCCAGCTTGTTTATGGTGAATGACATGAAATATGAAGGCTCAACAGTGAATACACAAATTGTAGCCAATTTTGAAAAGGGTCAAAACATAGTGGAACATCTCTCTATGATCAAAAATATGGTAATACATTTTTGTAATTGGGTCAAAGTTATTTTGTGATCTGTATTTTGGCTTTATGGATAAATTGTTATGTAAAGTTTATCCATATACAAAATACTGTTTCAAAAATTATAATTTAAAAAGAAAACCTATTTAACTTACATATGTTATGGTTAATTGTAATACATATATACAGAGCAGAACAATACTATAAAAATATAATTGAATTTTTTAGGACTCCAGTGACTCTGCCAGTATTACATGTTGTATGTCAATGGAAACAGCATTGGTGTCACTTTTACTTGATGGCATGTCAAATCAAAACAAAGATGGATATTTGAGACTACACTACAAAATGGCGCCATATAAAATCTCCTTTGCTTTACATACTACGGGTAAATTTTTCATATTTAACTTGATTCCATTTGACTCTAATTACGCATAATAACAGCTTGTATATACATACATGGTTTTTTCTACTAAAAATTATGTGAGTGATTAATTATAATATCTCCTATTTTATTTTAGATAAAAAAACATTTGATACTCTCAAGGAGCTAGCTGCATTACTTCACAATAAGCTCACCTTGGCGCAAATAAAATCGTTGCTTCCTACGTTTTCACATCCAATACAGCTTCAGGTATTTTTATCAATATTTATTTTGTTTGGCCTCTGGCATTTTGCGGTTAGTCGGGCGGTCTACGTCATTAATGTATCCATTTATACAATAAAATTCATCAATATCAGTTCAGCATCTTGAAAAATGAACACTTAAAAACACACTTGCTTTTTACCTTAGGGAACTTACGTTCAAGTATTACGTAACTGAATTTTTGGAGATTATTGATTATTGGGGGGGACCCCATGTAACTCGCCGTAACGTTTTTCAGTACCCAAGTATAGTAAAACGTTTCGTGACCACCTAGTGACTCTTTAGTTACTATTATGTGGTGTAAGTCGAAAAAAATATTAACAATAACGCGTAATTTAATCCCCGCCCCGCATCGTAACGTTTTACAAAAGGACAAAAAATTTGTTACGTAATACTTGAACGCTCCCTTAACTGTCATAACAGCCAATTAAAACAAAATGTTCACTATATACAGTGTATACTTGTTTAAGCTTAATCAAATTAATAATTTAGAATACCTTAAAAATACTGTTATACCCTGATGATTATGGCAATTTTACAGAATTTAAGAAAAGAATTCCTGAAGTTTTTCATTACTGTATTAATACCTGTTTGTGTGTTCAATTTCAGATAGAAGAAAACTTAAAAATTGGTGTGCCTTACACTGCAATCCTCAATGGGGAAACACTCACAAATGGAATTTTTCATTTACTTAACAGCAGTACTATGTTAAAGGTATATATTATAGAAATAAACCGATGCAGCCACAGGCTGACCTTTGATCTTGGTTTTTTTTATGTAATAGGAGGCAAAAGGGCAGGAGGCTCACCTGATGTTAAGTGATACCGCCGCCCAAGGACACTCACACTGCCAGAAAGCTCGCAAGTGCGTTGCCGGCCTTTCAAGAATTGGTACGCTCTTTTCTTGAAGGACCCTAAGTCGAATTGGTTAGGAAATACTTCAGTGGGCAGCTGGTTCCACATAGTGGTGGTGCGCGGCAAAAACTGCCTTAAAAAACGCTCAGTTGTGGAACGGCGGACGTCGAGGTGATACGGATGAACTAATTATTAATTATTTTTGTCTCAATAAGCAAGTAGGTGATCAGCCTACTATGCCTGAGACACGATTTTTGGTCTAATTCTTGTCGATTTTCTTCACAATACCAGTGTTGAAACGTACACATAGAAATGTCTATTGGTGCTCAGCCGTGATTCGAACTCGTGACCTCAGGATTGAGGAGCGCATGTTTAATCAAGCGTGAACACGCGCGTATGTGTTGAATTAAAATGACCCACTTTTGCAAGAACTAGATATTAAACCTGTTAGTGCTATTTCCAAATTAAAATTGATTTAATATATTTCCACTATATAGCAATTAACATCTAATAAAGCCATCTACACATCTGCGAAACAAATACAGTAAATTCCCGTAAACTTGATTGATTATCTCGAAAAACATGTGTTGTAACAAATAATAGAACATTACGAAATTTGGTAATTTAGAGCTTCATGTTAATACTGAATGTTTTTTAACCGCTTATCAACAACATGAAACGTCAATTTATGGTGATAACAAATTAACTTTTTGAATGCCTGTGATTATTCGATAATATGTATAGCCGGCCGGCAACGCACTCACGAGCCCTCTGGCATTGAGAGTGTCCATGGGCATCACTTAACATCAGGTCGGCCTCCTGCCCGTTTGCCCCCTGTTCTAAAAAAGCCTATTATGAGTCAATCTTTAGTTTGATAACGTATTAAAAGCTAATATGGTTGTGACATTTTTCTAGGAAAATCAAAACCGATATATTCGTATTTTTATCTGATACTAGCTGCCCCCGTTTTTAGGTTTTTCTGTTCAATTTTGGATTGTGTCTTGCACCACAATTTGAAGCCATTTTAGGACAAATTCAAGATTGTGCTCTAGTAATAAATGATTAATTTCTTTATCATTTTTTCTTATATTCACAATATTGCAGTGTAAATAGTTTTATATTTACATAATTTTATTGTGTTTATTTATCTTTCAGGAGCAAGTTCATATCGCAGACTTTGAGGAATATGCATCTTTGTTATTTAGCTAGAATTTGTTACAATAAAGTATTAAATATAACACTTTGTTTATTTCACAAAAAAAACTGTCACTTCCAAATTTTATTCACAAATACTTAATCCAAGATTACATTTAATCTTAGTGGCTAAATAAAAATTAATTTACTATTAAGCCATTATTAGTTCATTCAATATTACATTAAATATATTGCTTCACTATTCTTGAACCATTCAAAATGACCTCTTATCTATAGCGGTATAATTTGGAAGATAACTCAATATACCTACTATGCTTAATAACTACATTCTTTAGTCATTACAACCACAATTGCCTACATTGGTTTAATATGCTCAAAGTACAAAATAATGTTTAAGTAATTAAAATTTTAATGTTATTTAATATGCTTAGTAAGAAACAAAGTGATATTACAACAAGAATTTACTTATACCATTCACTAATAATACATACTCAAAGATTTACACAATTTCTATTTGATAATAAGAAAGAATCAAGATATTTGGATTGAAATTAGTATAAAGAAATAAGAAATCATTTGGCTTCAAATCTAAATGTTTTATGCAGTACAAAAAGCCATCTGAGGTATGTGTAGCGTCAAAAATCACAATGTATGGTTAAATTTCAATACAAACTTTTGTCCAGAACACTAGATCTTAGGTAATATTGACTTAATTAAATATCTTAATAGACATTCTTGTCTATTGCACCATTAACTAATTTATGCAGGTAGTTGAAGTTTCTTTCCTTTAAGAACTGAAACAAAATTATATACATAATATTAATAAGTTTGTCGCCCAAATTGTGATTATAAAATTATTAATGTTATATGTCACCAATAAATTTATACTACAAATGCTTAACAAGCTTGCTGTTTTATGCTCCAATTTAAGTACATCAACTTAGTTAATTTCTTCTAGATAAAGTAAAATAGTCATGTACATACACAGTAAAACTTACTAAGATTATTTCAAAATACAAAACATAATGAAAAAGAATATAGTCATATTTACCTTTTGTAATGTAAAGGTAGAAGAAATCACAATACAAAACTGTTTGCACAACTCCAGCAATAATAGCAATCAACTCATAGTGGTCTTCAACAATGTAACGGTAAATCTAAAACAAATGATTAAATGAAATGACACATACACGAATCATAATTGATATAACATGCATTGAAATAGGGACAATATAAGTATGCAAGTCTAATCAAACCAATGAAACTAAAACAAGTCTATGTATAAATTTCAAAATCGTCTCGTTTACTTTTGATGTTTTATTATGACAAATAACATACTAGCCTACTTTTTAGCTAGGCAAAATTGTTTGATTACAATTTATTTGATTTTAAATTAGTTAAACTAGATATTTCGATAAGTTACATACCCAGTTCAAAAGATAGAGTCCTCTGTATGAACCCAAGGCAAATAGGTAATGAGATGTAATACTTTCTGCCTCTCCAGTCTTTGAAACCAAAAACAATTGTGGCAAAATAGCAACAGATTCCAAATAAATAGAGAATGTCCATAACACCTGCAATAAAATATATTATTACACACCACCCCTTGTTTCCTTATCTTTCCACTTAAGATATTATGTTTTAAGTTATCTGTTAAGTATTACGTTACTTACCTCTAAAAATGTAAATTCGCGGTTTATCAGCAACGCCAAGATCACACAAGGTATTAGCAGAAATTCGATTCTAAAGGTGTCGTGGTTGTGGTCGTAGGTGGCCTTAAACTTTACGTACATCAAATAAACCGTGGCATATGAAGCCACGATGAAGACCAACTTCATAACAGTATTATATGCGGACACATATGTAGTCAGTAAATCCAAATACCTTGCGGTATACACGATGGAGAAAAGTATTTGCGATTTTCCAGATATACCTGAAAATATGTTCATAGTAACAAAACATAACACACTGAAATCCCATATGAATGCGGAACGCCGGTTTGTTCATTACCTGCACAAGATCTTGTTTTCCATATTTTAAGCAACAAGATTATAATAGCCAATAGATGGGATAGATCGGCAAGTAATCGGAATATATTCATGATTAAATATGTTTTTAAACTATCTTAAAAATTATACGCCGCGTAAACTAGAGCTCATCAACCTCATTCAAAGCAAAAATGACGTGGCTATTTGACAAATCTGCAACTTATGTCAGGAATGTATTATATTACTAAGGCGTTGTCATTTTATAATCTGTGAATAACAAGAATTAATATAATTATTATTAAACTAATTTAATAAAAGGATAAGCGTTCAACCCTTATGCTAAAGTTGATACGAGTTCAAGAAATATAAATCGTATCGCTTATTTTTTACAATAATTCAATAGTATTGACTAGCGAGAGCCAACATTAGAATTTCGACAAAAACCACAGAATACAAAGTGCCTTTGTAGAAAATATTGGTTGAAATATAAGTTGATAGATCAATTGTCAAAACTTATTCAAAATAAAACATTTTCAGATGGTTTTATAACACATTCAAGTTTAAGTAATAAAATTTAAATAATTTATAAAAATGGTTAATTTGTTAGACTTTGAGCAAAAAATGATTTAAAACGAAGTTTTTCAGTTTAATTTAATTTGAGTTATGTAGTTAGAAATGGTTTACGTTATAAAAAACACATGTTTTCTTCAGATATTAAAAAGAAAACAATTTTTCAAAAGGTATTCTAAATTATATGCACATAAAACAAAATGGGGTTCTAGCTATAATTCTCGCTAAAACAATGAAGTTTCAGATTTCTATGGCGAACATACAGTTCGGACTCTCCAATACAACCAATTGACGTTAAGAGAATCAGAAACTTTAGCATTGTTGCTCATGTAGACCATGGAAAGAGTACATTAGCTGATAGGTTACTTGAAATCACCGGTGTTATTAAACCAGGTAACGAAAATGCACAAGTTTTAGATCAATTACAGGTTAGTTTTTGTAAATTTCCTTAGTTTAAATGATCTATTTTCATTTTTCACAACAAAGAAATTATTTCATGAATTTTTTTTCAGGTGGAGAGAGAAAGGGGGATCACTGTAAAAGCTGTCACAGCATCATTAAATTACTCATATAATAATGAACCATATTTACTTAATCTTATTGATACTCCAGGTCATGTGGACTTTTCAAATGAAGTAAGTGTCATTATCTTTTTATACAACCTGTCATTTTAACTGTAACCACCTAAGTTATAGTAGCCTAATTTAATTGTCTTTTAATTTACAGTAGTAATATTATATATACTCTGCCCACACTCATTGAAGAGAACAAGTTATCAATTATTTCAGGTTGTTCGTAGTGTGACAGCTTGTCAAGGTGTTGTTCTTCTAGTTGATGCAAATGAAGGGATACAAGCACAAACTGTAGCTGTTCACTCTCTTGCCAAAAGAAATGACCTAGTCATATTACCAACACTTAACAAAGTTGACCTGCCCAGAGCTGACCCTGAAAAAGTTAAGAACCAACTTAAATCAGTTTTTAAAATAGAACCAAGTGATGTCCTCCAAGTTTCAGCAAAAAAAGGATGGGGTGTTGAAGAATTGTTAAAAGCAATAATTACAAGAATTCCACCACCCAATGTAGATACCACTGACCATTTTCGAGCTCATATAATAGACACTTGGCATGATAAATATAGGGGAGTTTTATGCCTAGCTTATATCCATTCAGGTACTCTTAAAATGGGTCAAACAGTAAAGTGGAAATCAGATGTAAAACAACATACAGTGAAGTATTTAGCCTTATTAAGACCAAGTGAAGAGAGTATTACTGAGGCTATGGCAGGACAAGTAGTTATGGTAGGTAAGTAGTATTAAATTAGAATAAATTATATTTATTTTTACACATCAACATCTAAAAGCAGATTACAATTGGGTCTGCAAAACTATTGATATTTGTAAACTACAACAATCACAAGGTTATGAGAAAGTAAATAAAGTTTATAAAATACAACTAAAATAAATGAAGTGATGCATGATGATAAATAATGTTATAATATTTGAATTATATATTGTATCGCTTTACGTAATTAATAAAATATAAGATTAGCAAATTTTGTTTTCTTGCAACATAGTCAAGTGTAGTCAACCTGTATATAATTAACTTGATGACTAACACATTTCATTACTATCTTCAGGTCTAGGTACAAAAGGTGGTGGTAGCGTAGGTGACACTTTGTTGTCACCAGAAGCTACTGATGGTAAAGACACAACGGTTCCTGCAGTAAGACACATGGTATACGCAGGTATCTTTCCAGCCGACCAATCACAGCACACACAACTCAGTGACTCTATCAAGAAACTATCTTTGAATGATTCTGCTGTCAGTGTTGCGGTTGATTCTAGGTAAAATTTGTACTACTTTGACATTTTTGTCCAATACACCAGTTATTTGTGGGGTTTAAAATTGAGTTAGAAATACATAAATTATTGTGGAATATTTTTATGTTGTTTGATGTATGAAACTAGACAGACAAAACAAATAACTTTTTACTAAGCGATTTTCGCTTTTAAGTTACTAAACTATTGAAAATTTGTTCTGCATATTAGTCTAAATCTTTTTATGTTAAAAAATGTATTTAGATCTTTGTAGGAATGGCATTATTGTCATTATAATTTTCAAGTCTTGTGAATGCCAACTTTTGTAGTAAGTATATTTCGTATTTTATAATTAGTGAAAAACATTCAATTTAAACTTAAAAGATTATTCTTATGAAAGCATATCTTATTCTGTTAACACAATTTCTTATTTAAGTATTAACTTTTACAAAACTGTCACAGAGTCAAGAGAGAATTATAAATTGTGGCACCAAATGTGGTGAGCCTAGCCCGACCACTGACTTTGTTATAAATGTATATATTATTGCAGTCCTGCACTGGGCCAAGGATGGCGTGTGGGCTTTCTCGGACTATTGCATTTAGATGTATTCACTCAGAGGCTCTTGCAAGAATATAAAGCTGAGGCCATACTCACTGCACCATCGGTTCCTTATAAAGTTAAGTATGTATGACATTTTTGACACTGACAATTTACTTTCGATGTATATTGTCTCTATTTGATATAGAGTAGTAATTACCGATTTAAAATAAGTACAACGAGTTTAGTTAATACCAAGAATACTTATTTTTATAACACATACACAAAAAAATATTCAGCAATTTAAACACAGAAGAAAGTGTTTTAATGTTTCAGCTTGAATTGTCAAGCGTGGTTGACATTTCGATGAAACCTATGACGTATTATAAACAAATAATAAATTATAAACGGAGCAAAGGTGTTTATTTGTCAAAGTATTTCAGAGTAAAGGGTGCTAAAATTATCAAGCACTATAAAGGCGAGGATGTTATCGTTACGAATCCTATGCAACTCCCTGATGTTAGTAATATAGTAGAATATTACGAACCGTTCGTTATAGGTAAGTTTAAATAATAAAAAATAATCGAAAATATTTGCAAAAACTTCGTTATAGTGACAGTTACACATATGAGTTGAGATATTTATTTAATAGTAGTAGTACTATGTGTCAGAAAACAAAGTTTTCTGCCCACCTAATATGATAAAGTGAGAAAATTTAAAAGAAAAATTATTGTAATAATAATATAACTTAGTAACAAAAACGTTTTCTCATGGTATTTATAAGGATAAGTTATAGTATATAATAATCAGATATATTATCTTTTATGTTTAACCAACCAACAGATTTTATGTATAATAGTGTAATTTGTTAAAATATTACAGGTACAATAATAAGTCCAGTAGAGTACATCGGCGCAGTGAACACCCTATGTATAGATCGTCGTGGTAATCCTTTACCATCTAACGCTGTGGATGACCAGATGACAATGTTACAATACATTCTACCTTTATCTGAAGTGGTGATGGACTTCCATGATACCTTAAAGAGTATCACATCAGGATTTGCCAGCTTTGATTACCAGGATTATGGATTCCACCCCAGTTCATTAGTTAAAGTAAGTGAAAAATATTTCTGCATGTGTAGTATTTCTGTTTACTGTTTGTTTGTGCACAAGAGTGGATCCAGTTGGGATTATTACCCTATTTGGGGTCATTTAATACCTAATCAAGTAATATCTTAGTTTTTCTTATAATTTGGGATCGAGCCGAATAATAAACTAGAACTCCCACACAAACGTGAAAAATTACATGTTTATTACAAGTTGGTGTCACCAAAGAGTTTTAATTATTATATTTTGCTTGCATTGACCGTGCTCTGTGGCTCACCCATTTTTACTAATCTGTGGTTGCGCCTGCTTTGGCGTAGACGTAGAGGACCAAACGGGTAGTAAATATCGACGTAGGAAAGCATATTTGCTGTAAGTAGACATATTGCAATTGTTCACCAGAGCCAAAAAACTTAATTAATTTCGGAAAAAAATTAATAGTGTCGAACCTATCCATGATATTGCTACCATTTTTGAAACATATATTTATTTAACTGCCAAAGTTACTATAAGTACGTGTTTGGCTAGTTACAGCATACAGTTTTTTAAATCACAAACCTTTAAAACGCTGTAACTAAGGAAGAAAAATGTACGCGCGGAATTATTATCAATTTACAGCCGGTAAATATGCTGTATGCAGTAAATGTATGTTTTTGGGTACTTTCAATTGCAATTCAAAATGTAAGATTAGTTTATAATTATGATTAGATCTAGAAATGCAGTGGGTCATTTGGTAATGTAATGTTTGGTTGTAATAACATGTCGTAAATGGTAAAAAAAAACTAAAACTGTAGGTTCCCTAAGCTTGCTGTAAGTAAACGAATGTAAAAATCACACGCCGCAGAAATGCTGTAAGTAGCATTAAGTTTTTAAATGGGAAGAAGTAAGTATTTGTAAAGTAAAAAATGCAGATTTTCTTTTGCTGTAAGTACAAATTGTCTAAAATGACTGGATTTTGGTCTACATACAGCATTTAATCTTACTAAAAAAATATTAGTACGGGTGTTTTCAACCGCGTATGCAATTTTTTTTTCATCGTAGAGACACAGGACCCGGGACATTCGATGCGGTATTTTTTTCTGATTCTAATGGCAGTAAAAAGTCACTTTAGGTATTTTGTCTACTTACAGCAAATATGCTTTCCTTTTTTTTTTTTTTTTTTTTTTTTTTATAGAACGGGGGGCAAACGGGCAGGAGGCTCACCTGATGTTAAGTGATACCGCCGCCCATGGACACTCTCAATGCCAGAGGGCTCGCGAGTGCGTTGCCGGCCTTTTAAAAATTGGTACGCTCTTTTCTTGAAGGACCCTAAGTCGAATTGGTTCGGGAATACTTCAGTGGGCAGCTGGTTCCACATAGTGGTGGTGCGCGGCAAAAACTGCCTTGAGAAACGCTCAGTTGTGGAACGTCGGACGTCGAGGTGATACGGGTGGAATTTCGTATTCTGCCTCGACGTCCGATGATGAAACTCAGCTGCAGGTATTAATCCGAACAACTCCTCTGAACACTCTCCATGGTAAATGCGGTAGAAGATGCAGAGTGACCCCACATCTCTACGCAACGCCAAAGGATCAAGCCGCTCGGAGAGGGATTGGTCGTCAACGATTCGAACCGCTCTGCGTTGTATACGGTCAAGTGGAAGGAGCTGGTACTGGGGAGCCCCCGCCCAGAGGTGAGAGCAGTACTCCATGTGGGGCCGAATTTGCGCTTTATATAGTTGCATGCGGTGGCCCGGAGTGAAGTACCGTCTCGCCTTGCTGAGCACACCAAGCTTTTTGGAGGCTAATTTAGCCTTTCCCTCCAAGTGACCGCGAAACTGAACGTCGCTCGATATGTCAACGCCAAGTATTCCAATGCTGGCTGTGGCTTTAAGAAGAGTGTTTTCGAAAAGAGGAGTAGCGACAAAGGGTGTTTTTTTAGCGGAAAACGCGCAAACTTGTGTCTTCTTGGGGTTAAATTGGACTAGGTTTTGTCTGCCCCAATCTGAGACTCCACGAAGTAGAGTTTCAACTTCAGACACAAGTTTGTTCCGGTACTCATCAACAACTGCCCGAGAAATACCTGCCCGGCCAGTGTAAAAAGTATCCCCAGTACTGTCATCCGCATAGCAATGAATGTTGCTAAGTTTCAACATATCATTGATATGCAGAAGAAATAGGGTCGGGGATAGAACACAGCCTTGTGGGACCCCAGCGTTTACGGGTTTTAGGTCGGAACATGCTCCGTCGATGACGACCTTGATGCTCCGATCGGCCAGAAAGCTGGAGATCCAATTGCGTAATTTCTCGGGAAGCCCATAGGCTGGAAGCTTCGAGAGCAGTGCTCTGTGCCACACCCGATCGAAGGCTTTCGCTATGTCCAAACTAACCGCTAGCGCCTCCCCTTGGACTCAATTGCCTCTGCCCATCTATGTGTAAGGTATACAAGGAGGTCACCAGCCGAGCGACCACGACGGAAGCCGTACTGAGAATCGCTAATCAGCTGGTGGCCCTCTAGATACCTCAAGAGCTGGCTGTTAATAATGGTTTCCATTATTTTGGAGAACAAGGAGGTTATAGCTATTGGGCGATAGTTGGACGGATCAGAGCGATCGCCTTTTTAGGGATCGGATGTATCAAAGCGGTCTTCCAGCACTTCGGGACAGTGCCGAGCGAGTACAGGTACCGGAAAAGGCGCGTTAAGACCGGAGCCAACTCAGGAGCACAAGTACGCAGCACAATTGGGGGGATACCATCCGGCCCGCTCGACTTATGAATGTCCAAGGAAGATAGTGCTTTGCGGACAGCACGTTGCCGGAATGTGATTTCCGGCATCGAAGAATCACACCGCGAAATGGTCGGTGGTGATCTCCCTCGGTCATCCAAAGTCGAGTTAGACGCGAAGAGACAGCCCAAAAGGTCAGCCTTCTCCTTCGCAGTGTGGGCCAGAGAGTCATCCTCCCTGTGCAGTGGCGGAATGGCGGGCTGACAAAAATTCCCTTGGACAGCTTTGGCGAGAGACCAGAAGGCTCGAGTCCCTGATGGGAGTTGGGCCAATCTCTCGCCAAATCTGGCAATGTGCTCTGACTTTGCCTTAGTGATTTCCCGTTTGAAGGACCTGGAGGCTGAGTTATATGCTTTTTTAAGTTCGCTGGTATTGGCATCACGAGATTTCGCCGCTTCCGCCCATGCCTTAAAGCATTCTCGCTTTCGACGCGAGGCCGCCTTGCAAGAACGTTTAAACCAGGGCTGAGACTTGCCACCGATCGGCACCACAGAAAATGGAATAAAGAGTTCCATGCCCTGCAGAACCACTTCGGCGACAGAGGCGGCGACGGAATCTGGAGCTTCCGGCGAAAAGCACATAGGCCCCCAAGGGTAGGACGCAAAGAAAGACCGCATCCCGTCCCAATCTGCTGACTTATAGTGCCAAATACGGCGACAACCCATAAAGCGGGGCCGTGAAGGGCGCGTAGATGGCACAGTACTCCGGACCACACAATGATCTGATGAACCCAATGGCGGGTCAACAGAGACTTGATAGTTCTCCGGATGAGAAGTCAGCAGAAGGTCCAACAAAGAGGGTTTATGACCATCCACATCTGGTATTCGCGTAATCGCAGGGACCATTTGTGTCAGGTCGTAGGCTAAAGCAAAGTCGTGAAAGGATCTTCCCGCGTGATCGGTGGTTTCAGAGCCGAGCCAATCGGCATGGTGGGCGTTAAAATCGCCAAGTATCACGATTTCAGCGGTAGGAACCCTTTCGAGCAGGGAATCTGTAGCCATTTGGATGTGCTCAATGAGTCGGTCAGTTTCGGTATTTCCGCTATGGGACCTATACAGGCATGCGTAGAATCGCGGATGGTCATCGCAGTCTACGCGCAGCCAGAGGTTAGATAGGTCCCTTCCTTCAAGCGTCCCGAGGCGACGAGAACAGATATCCTCTCTGACGTACACGCAAACTCCAGCCCGCGGCACAAATGAATGTTCCAATTTGTACCCCGGGTAGGATAGGTGGGAAGTATCAGCCGGGGAGGATATCTGAGTCTCGGTAAGAAAGAGCAAGGCCGGCTTCGCAGTCTCTAGATGATAGTGGACAGCGTTGATGTTAGAATTAAGCCCCCTAACATTTGTGAAGTCCACGGCGAGTGTGGACGGGGGTGCCTTTGTATAATTGCTCCGTTTGCCCCGAGGACGATTACTATTTTTGTAGAGCGCAGAATTGCCCCCCCAGAATACGAAGGGCAGCCTGTGCGTCCACCACCGGGTGCTGAGTGTCCCGGTGGTGGACGCCCAGAGGGGGATTCTCCACCGCGAGCGCGTGTGGTACCCCCTGGGGTAGATTCTGTTTTTTCTGCACCTTCATATTTCTTGTGTGGGGGGGATGGGCTCCGGGAATCTCTCTCACCGCACGAAACGCGAGTACAAGAAGGCGAACCTTTTGCATCACTTCACGCCGGTTTTCTGAGAGACAGTGGTACTGCCCCGGTCGTGCCTGCCCATTTGGCTGAAGCCCGAAGGCAACAGCATGGCACTCCCACTAGGAAGGGGTTGACTGATTGCGCTGATGAAATAACCTCTGTCACAGGTTATTTCACCAGTGGGCGATGGGGTCGTCACGTCCCGACGCCTTAAAAAACCTACCTTTCCTACGTCGATATACTACTTATTTTATTTATGTATAAATTTTATTTATACTGGGTGGCGCAAAAGTAAAGAGCCTATTTGGTTCAGCTATAAAAAAAATTCTAAATTAGAAAACTAGATTTAGTTTTTTTTAAATGTATATTTGTGCCATTAAATTTCGTACCATTAGGATTTAAAGATGATGTCTTTTAAATGGTGACCTCCAGAGTTGATGCACATTTGAGCCCATTTTGCATAACTTGCCGTAATACTTAATGCGATATGTTCCTTATTTCTTGATAAATGTTTTCTTTTAGAGCTGCGAGAGTCTGTGGCTTGTTCACATACACCCGAGATTTCAAAAAACCCCAAAGAAAGAAGTCTGGACTGGTCAGATCGGGTGATCTTGCAGGCCAAGGCAAACGAAAAACACGTTGTGTTTTTATCACTGATGAATTATTCCGTAATAACATTGACACGATTATTCCACGTTCTTGGGGAGTAAAACGGTCCATGTTTATTTTCAGTGTATTTTACATTTGTTCACTACACAATTTTCAACAACAGAATGATAGGAAATGTCCTATGAAAAAAATAAACAAATTTTCTTTACTGCCAGTACTTTTGCGCCACCCAGTATATAATAAATTTTGACTGTTATATGAGATATAATGCAATTGTGTGTTAGATTGACATAACCAGAACTGGAAATACAAATATAACATTACTTTTTTCAGATGGACATACTATTAAATGGTGTTATTGTGGACGAGTTGACATCAATAGTTCATATAAGTAGATTGGAATATAACGCTAGAACATTAACAGCTCGACTTAAGGAGATGATCCCACGTCAAATGGTTCAGGTAGGATTTTTACCAAAAATAGAGAAAACGCAATTTTTTTCTTGCTATTTTTCAGTTAGATAATGTTAGCATTTAAACTTAAAGACATCCAATTAGCAATCAAAGTTATATACCCAACAAGTAAACCACGACACCATGTTGTACTTAATTATTATGATTTGAATTTGGAAATCTTATCTGTTATAATGTTCTATGTGGGTATTTAATAGCAGTTTATGCAACTGTCATAATATAATAGAGGGTGTTAAAACATGAGCGTAGTGTTTTAATACCTAATTATATGCAGTTGCATACACTACTTTATTTAATCTCATAGCTATAGGTTTCCAAGTCATAAAGTCTTAGTAAAATTTGTCGTACGATTTTCTTGATTTTTCTGGCAAAATACTATTCGTCAGTTTCGTAGCTGTTTCTAGAATGTCAATTTTCATCGGTATCGTCGGTGTTGCTTGACATTTTTGCTACTAATTTTATCCAACAAAATATTACTCAAATTCGTATGTACGAAATAGCGCCAAAATGGAAAAAGTCTGTGATTGGTCCATTTTTTTTATGGCTCTAGCACGGTTTGTGCATTAGCTAGCGTCAAGTATAAGATTTTTATAATTCGTGCTTTTTGCCTTAGAAATTCAACCATGTCCTCCATGTACGGTTTTAGGCACTCGCCCGGTACCGCACAACCCTCCCAAAGGCCGAGAACAAATTTAAATTAAATTAAAACTTGCCCTCGAACCAGGAATCAAACCCGGTACCCCTCACCTAGCTGCCACTTAATAAGACCGCTAGGCTATGAGGCCCCAAAGGTCTATGGGCTCGGAACCAGCGCGCTCACCACAGATTATGTGTACTTAAATTGAATTAAAACCTCCTTGGTCGGGACACATTGTACTTTAATAATTAAAAAATTATTTTAAAGCATTGTTTTGTTAAGAGAATAATGCTTTAATTTAATTTTTTTATTTCCTTAAAGAAGTATGTAAATAAAATATGCCAATAAAAGTCTGTATTAAATTTCATAATTAGAATATTACCGAATGAGATTATATAAAAGAATGGCGGTCTATGGCATAAATTCCTTTGTTTCCATTTTTAATTATTTTATGGACATGGGCAGCAAAAAGTAATATTAAGCATTTGCTAACCAGCGCCTTTTTAAAGCTTACATTTCGGTTACATTAGTGAGGTTTCATTATATATAGTCATTACTATTATATCAATACTAGTTGAGCTATCTCTTTTAACACCCGTTTATTATTTCGCAATACGAATATTTATTTGTACACAGGTGGCAATACAAGCTGTTGTGGGAGGAAAGGTGTTAGCAAGAGAAACAATAAAAGCCTATAGAAAGGATGTAACCGCAAAATTGGTATGTTGTTGTATAATTTTATTCTTAAAAAATTTTTGTTCTAAAGGAAGCGATAAAACATCTTAACAAAAATGCCATCATCGAGTCAAAAATTACATTTGTTGAATGCAACGGTGAATATAATATAAGCGTCATAGTGTGTGTAATTTTACTTCTGGGCGTTAAAAGAAAGGAAAACCATTGATATATGTACATGTAACATTGTAAAAGAAAGTCAAAGATCATTTTCTTGATTAATGAAACAAGTTTTTTATTTTAGTATGGCGGTGATATAACCCGACGAAAGAAACTGTTAAAACAACAAGCGGAAGGAAAGAAAAAAATGAGAAGTGTTGCCAACATTAAAATTCCAAGAAATACTTTTATAGATGTTTTAAAAAGATAGTAACTTAGTTACTTAGATGTAATAAAAAATTTACGAATAAAATGTGTTTGACTTTTTTGTGTAGGAGTTACCCATAATAAAATGCTATTATTTCTTTGTCAATTTATTAAAATGGTGATTACATTGATTTTATGGATAAACACAAAAGTATACAATATATAAATAAAAAAGTATACATTGTTTCAAAATTGTCTATTAATTTCATTTCAACTTAGTAATTTGAAACTTGAATGGTTTTATAAATTTACAATAAGAAAATCAAACTTAAAATATCTAAGGAACTTTATTCTTTATTTACAATAAATTTTGTTTATACTTAACGGCGATATTTTTAAGATATGCATTACTAATAAATGTAGTTTTTCGAACGCATCATGTTCGATTAAAGTTTAATTTCTAAAGGTAATGTGGGTAAGATATGCTTGTGGCATTACATTTTCAAATTAAGAAATTCATAGACCTATAATAGAACGGATTAAATTTTATTATGATTAATCAAAGGACTGGTTAATCTTCAAGAAAAAAAATATATCAAATAAACTTGAACGCTCACCTTATGGGCTTTTACGTTGTGAAATAAAAATTTATATTCCTTGTCATATTTTTCAACAAAGACTAGATTAGATATATTGAAATTTAATACCGCCATTTGCATAATATATTCGACGATAATTCGTAACAACATCTGCCGAAAACCACAGGATAATTTCATTTATATTTACAATTCAGTTTCACTGATAATAAATATGTTTCATAAATTCATTTTCTACTTTCTATAATATTAACAATATAAACATACAAATTACACTACGGAATTTCTATTGTATCATGGATTAAAAAAATATAAAAATGACCATTTTATGACTTCTCCAACCAAATGATAGAATTAATTACTTTTTCAAGTGGGTTGGTTACAATTAATACTTTTATAGGAAAATTAAACAAAGGACAAAATTCCTATTTATAAGAGATAGTCTTTATTCATCAATTAAGACATAATATATACCTTCAAAATGTTTAATCAAATTGAATTTTAAAAGTCATATTTTTATAGGATAGCACATAACGTAATGCAAAGTGAAATCGAAATATAATATAATTAATGAAACAACTTATCACAATCCATATTCAGTCAGTTTTCTGTAGGAAATAGTTTTAGGTTAAATATCAATTTTAGAGATCTTAGGGATTTTGTTATATGATTGTTCCTCCTTCATTGATAAATTTTAGAATTCATCATATCTGTTAACATTTATTGCCCTAGATTGGGATCCAATGAAATATACTTTGCAATAATTTGCCTTTATAGATTTGATATAAGATCCTATGTAAAATATTGCCAGTATATTACCATGACTTTTATTATATTCTTGAATCCTTCATATTAAGTGTATATTACAATGCACAAAAAATTAAACATAAAAGTCATGTTTGACAGTCATGGTAACTAAGAATTAACTCATAGTATGTACATAAGAGCCTCATGGACCACTTAAATTCATTGACATTCCACTCAATCACGTCAAAATTTAAATCTCAGAAAAACGCTGTTCTATGATCTAAAGAAGGTGTAGCATGAATATTGTGCTGTGAGAATGACAAGCATCCTAAGTGAGAGTATCTAAGATAATGTAGCAGTCTCTAATTTAATTTTCTCATTTAGAAAATCACTAATTTACCCAAATAAGGTAAAGAAATTAGTAGCTCACAACTAATTCTGAGTCAGGCCCGTTGTCAGCAAAATAGCTGTCTATCTATCTTCAGATGTCTCAAGAAATTGTGCATACACATCTCTGTTGCATTCTCCTTTTTCATTAAATTTATATTTGTAATATGATCCATCGGCACAAATCACTGTGGACAAAATTTTAATGTGTAAGGAAATTAGTTTTTTAAAGATTTAATTGCTGAGTATCTAATCAATATAAGGAGAAGAAAGATATAAGCAATAAGAGATAAGATAGGAAGCAAGCAATCTATTCTACCAATACCAAGATAAGTTAAAAATCAGTATGTGTCTATGGCTCTATGTTTTGGAAGATACAATTAATAACAATAGTGACCCCTGAGTTTTACATGTGAATGTAAATCATTTGGGTTGATATAAATTGATAATTTGATTTGCAGTTAACTCACCAATAATAGAGCTTTTGTCTACTCCAAAAGCACAAATACAGGGTGGTCCATTTGGAATTGTGAATTTGCAAAAACTCCAATTACTTGAGAAATACTTTGGTAGGAGGTATACAGATGCTAAATTCGAATGCTTGTTTAATTTCTCTTCATCAAGGCTAAAGACATGTACTGTTCCATGGTCTGATGCCACACAAAGATTTGTGCTTGTATGGTTGAAGTTTATACAGTATATTGTTGCCTGTAATAATTATAAACTATAAATCACTACTGAAGCAGAGAATTGCACAATTTCATCTTAGTTTGTTAAATAATTAAACTAAAAGCCTTAAACAAACACTCCATTGTCTTGTTTTTGTTTATCCTGACACCTTTTCATTATTGATAAGCAGCTTACTTATATACAATCAACAATAAACCTTAGTGTTTTGTAATGTATATTAAAACCAAAATGTCACAAGAGTGATAAGAGATTGTAAATATTACTTATGTAGTACTTATGTTATTGTTTGAAACTAATTTAAATATTTTGTTCACTTAAGAAACTATCAGTTATAAATATTTTAATAAAACTACAATAAAGGCCATAAATTGTATTTCAATGTACATCCATTTAATAAGATTACTCTCCTCTTACAAATTATCACAGTTGAATGATACTTAATACTATACTATATACTTACTTATATATTAAATACTTAGATTATGTTACCTCTCTCTGTCCCCAATAATTAGGTTAATTATGAATATGTGGAAAATTATCAGATTGATTTCCTATTTTAATGTAAATTAACATTGATAATATTTCACTTTATCTTACCTGATTTGCACCCCTTCGTAATTCTGCAAGTTTTTGGCCAGTGTTCGTATCAAATACTCTTATAAGAGTTCCTTTGGTTGACGCAGTAGCTAACCGAGTACCTCCAACATTGAGAGCAAGACAACTTAGAGGAGCTTCATGTGCTACAATTAAGTGTCCTTCTGGGGCTGTACTGGTACCAGCATGACTGCTTAATTCCACCAACTGAAAAATTATTGAATGATTTAAATGCAGCTTAAAGTTTGTGCAAGGAATTTGTGTACAATGCAACTTTTATATTTAGATAAAATTAAATTAGTATTGAAAAATCTTGATTTATGTAAATAAAACCTACATAAATTTTTAGTAAACATTAATATTGTGTTAAGATTGTTACCTGAACATGTCCAGTTTTTCTACTAGGATAAGCTAACAAAGCATTATTGCTATTAGGACAGACAACACACAGCCCTCTAAGATTCTGACAAGTTTCAAATATGTGAAGTAGTTGAGGCTGAGCAGTAAATGTATAAACTTTTATTAAATTTTCTGTAAAAAAAAGTCATAATTTTTACAATGCAACAATTATTACTTACTTTCATAAATTTAAAAAGCATCTACTAATGATAATGAAAGTAATGATACTTAAACTCAGTAGGCCATATGTAATACAAGGCAGTTACAATATGTTTTTTCCTATGGTTAAATAACTAGATAAAAAATTATTTTAAAGAACTCCTTTTGAAAAATTATTACCCAAAACAACAACTATCCGGTCTCTTCTTAATTTCACAGCTTTAACAGGACTGTTAAAATCTAGAGCGATAGCAGAATCCTTCTTCAGGTCATCCCATATTATAACTTTGTTAGGAGGGTATACAGGTGTCTTTCCTCCTCCTACTAAAGCCATGTAGTTACATCGGAACAACATTTCCACGTACGAGAGACCTCCTTCGGCAAAATTTTGCCGTTCTTTTTCCTTAAGCGGATCACTGTTAAAAACTCTGAAACCATTCTCCGTTCCGCAAGCAAAACAACCTGCAGTGATTGCGACACAAAATCATTGTTAGTATCAGAATAACAATATAAACTGTATAATAAAACAAACGTTTACCTTGATCTTGATTGAATCCAACATATAACAAGCCATTTGCAAAGTTATTTTCTTGTGCCAAATTCATTTTTTCAATCCATAAAATAGACAAATAAAATAGCAAATTAAATGTAGTTGGGTACCTATTTATAGTACAAGAAACTTTTGATTTACAACAATTTCTAATTCCATAATATTTTTGACTTTGAAACCCATAGATAATAGATTGACTATTACTTATCAGTGACATATAGACAGAAAATAGCAATGGGTGTTAGCCGTTCATAGATTTAAAAATCCATTAAGTAGTGGCCCATGACCTTCAATTGTTTCTACATTTATGAGTTATTCGCCGAAACCGTTTATCAAATAGGAATGCAGAAACTCAAAAATTTTTGATGTATACCTATCTAAGTTTCTATACTCGTGAGGTTACTGCATACGTATTTTATACAGGCTATAGTTTAGTACTTTTAGACATAATAGTAGTCTATTATAGAATGGCTATTGGTATTCTGAAGTTTCCATAGCAACGAAAAAATATATAGTAAACAAAGCGACTGACTACTGAGTTTTTCAGATGCAAATATTTTTAAACTTCTTGATTAATAATTAGGTGAAGTTTGTCATATATAATGTATGACCTATTTAAAATAAATTAGTATTAAAACATAATTTATCAAATCCTTATTGTTGGGAAGTATTATAAAATGACTCTGTATATTGATACAAAACTTAAATTTAAAGATGATAACGTGGTATCTACAGTCAGTTTATGGCATCCTGCTTTGCCATTATTAGCTGTTGGTTCATTCAATCAAGAGAAAGGAGGTTGTGTAACAATATTTCAAGAAAATGTAAGTATTAAGATGAAATAATATTTGCTATTTGTACCAATCGTGAAGCGTATGGGGGTATTATACTATGATTTAAGGATATGCTTAGAGAAGATTAATGGATAGCAAGGTTTTCTGTGGATTTTGTAAAGGTGGCTTAATTATATAATTATTTTATAATATTTTTTGTTGAAATGTGGCCATGTAAGGGTGGTAAATAAATGAATAAATATTTTACATACTCCCTAGCGTTAATCTATCTCGATACCTTCATTGTTTTATAGTTCCAAAACATGCCTCCATATAATACTTTCCCTTATGTTGTCTTATCATCTATTTCAGGGTCAAATATTAGAAGGATGTGACTGGCCTGTATTGTCATCTAACCAAGCCACAGCTTTAGCATGGCACCCAATCAGAAGACTTCTTGTTGTAGGCTGGGATGGGGGAGAGCTGTACATTTGGTTAGAATATGCTTGGGCTCGTTTGGAAGCACCACATAATGCTGCTTTAACATCAGTAACTTTTAGTCCTGGTGGGGGGCGGCTTCTGGCCTCAGATGCATCTGGATCATTATCTGGCTGGCAATCTAGTTCTGGTGCACCTTTAACAGCGTTTCATCATCAACTAGGAGATGTAATAACCTATATAAAGTTTTGTGCTCCACTTCCATCGTCAGAATCTTCTATAAGAGGACTAGCACGGGCAGCTGTTGCCGGTGATGAGAATGCATTAGATGTTTTAGCTGCTTGGAGACCTCGCACAACAGCCAGAATGAGAGAAAATTACCAACCAGATAATTATGCTTGCTATGCTGCTCAAGATAATGGTATTATATTATACATTGATCATTCAGGATCCTGCTCGGAAGTATTAAATGCACCTGGTGTAATTGTTTTCCTGGATATTATAAGCACTATTTATCTTTTGGTTGCATGGGAATCTGCAGGAGCAATAAGTTTATCTAGATTTCTTATTGCTGATGATGGTTCACTTACTACTGATAGCCATGTAAGAATGTCATCAAAAAATGGTCAAGGTATTGTCTTAGTCGGAAACTTTTTAGTAGCCGTTATTACTGGTGATAAAGTCATAAGAGTATGGGATAGTGAAACTGGAGAAAATGAAGTGTTGCCCAATGAAGGTGAAGAAACAACAGAAGGAGACACATTTACAAGCATAAGTTTCTGCAACTTAAGTGATACACTTTGTTGTGGAACATCTCAAGGAAATTTATATCTATGGAGACGTGATCACAAAAATAAATGGAAATTACTAAGCAGCACTTCTGTAAAGGGTACAGTGAAGGAAATCTGTTGGGGCTCTGAAGGCCTAATGAATCCTCTTTTACATGTTAACTGCATAACAAGTGCTTTCATATTATCAGAACAACATGTATGCTGGGGATATTCAGCAAAGCTATGTATGGTTCAGAAGTCAGCAAATGAAATTAATGTGATAGAAAGAAATAACACAACTTCAAGTATAAATTCCACACTAACAATAAAAACATTTGCTTTTAAGGATAATTATGTAGCACTGGGAGATGGCAATGATATACAGGTATGTTTACTATAAGCCATGACATTTTCAATACCTAATGGGTTCTTGGAGGGCAATAAATTAGAATATCCATTATAGGCTCATCTATCTATTTAAAACAGTGTTTAGTTTGTGAGCAGTGTTGGCCTAGTGGCTTCAGCGTGCGACTCTCATACCTGAGGTCGTAGGTTCGATCCCCGGCTGTGCACTAATGGACTTTCTACGTGCGCATTTAACATTTGCTCGAACGGTGAAGGAAAACATCGTGAGGAAACCGACATGTCTTAGACTCAAAAAGTCGACGGCGTGTGTCAGGCACTGGATGCTGATCACCTACTTGCCTATTTTATTAGATTAGATTTAATAATGATGATGAAACAGATTCAGAAATCTGAGGCGAAGACCTAAAGAGGTTGTAGCGCCACTGATTTATTTTTATTTATCTATTTAAAACAGTCGGAGCCAAAAGACAATTTTCAACCTAGTAGTTGGTAAAGAGATATAAACCTCTTCAACACAAAGACATCCCGCGATCTTAGTGTGATGCTAAGATCCATATAGAGAAGTATTTGCAAATACTTGTACTACGATAACCTTTAATTTTTTTAAATGTTATATTGTTTGACTTGTTTCAGATTTGGATGTGTTCTAAAGAAGACGAAACAAAATTTGTACATATACGCACATTCTCCTGGAAAACCAGTGCTATTTTTATGTATAATGAAGTTTTGGTTGGGATTGCCAATCCTCACATTGAATGTTACTCTATTCTTGGAAATAAATTAGGAATACTACCAAGCATTGAAGGAGAAGGTGAACCAATTGCAGTAACAAATACAAATAAATTTATAGTGGTGGCAACAATTGATGGTGTTCTTAAACTAGCCGAAATTACAAAAAAAGGATTAAGAATGCCCTATCCACCAAAGAATTGTTTTCAAATATTTGAAGATTTCGGAGAAGTGATGCGAGCTTCAGTAAACTTGAATGGAAACTATATATGTTTGAGTATCGCTAATTCAGGTTTAGCACCGGACCCCAGAATATATCTATGGGATGTAGCAAATGATAAAATTACAAGTACCTTGCTCTCTGATAATCAGGCTCCTCCATATCAAAGTGTGCCTATTGCTATTTTATGGGATACGTTAGATCCAAGACTAGTAGCAGTCCATTTGCGGTCTGTTGATTTCGATCGCGTACATTTATTTTTTTGCCACGAAGGCATCCTTCATGAATACAAAAATTGGTGTCCAACTTTTGAAAATTACTTTACGTCCGATTTTGTTCTATGTTCGTTGCATTCGCCACATGTTGTTATTCTTTCTCGGCAAAATATGCAAAAGATATTATTTAATGAATTTGATCAGTCTAAAGAAGATGATAGCAATGCAGTAAAGGATACCATGAATTTTTTGTTTTATATGAGCATTGGATTATTGGAAAAGGCTGTTATTATTGGGACGAATATAGCAGGAGTGAGAAAGGAAGTAGTATGGACCAGTTTGGCTAAAGAATGTGTGCTTCGTAAAAGAGCCGATGTTGGTGCAGTTTGCCTAAGCAAAATGGGCAACCTAAAAGGAGCTTTAATGATGCGAAAAGTTATGAGCGATGATAGCACGGATGAGACCTCCAAAGTCGGAGTGCTTGCCGTAAACCTTGGTATGATAGAAGAAGCGCAACGTCTGTTCCGCGAAAGTAAAAGACTTGACCTAGTCACACGTCTCATATCCGCAAAAGATGGTGGTTTAAATGATATTCTAAATGAAGAAACTGAAGGCGAAAACATACTTCTTATAAAAAGTGCACAACATAAATTAGCGAAAATAAGCTGGATGAATGGAGATGCGGCTGCATCTTTTAAATTATTTGAGAAGGCAGGCACTCTGGTCCCACATGTACCAAGAATGCTTATTGCCCAAGGTCAAGCGCCGATGTTGGCTCAATATGTATCAACTTCAAAAGACGCTAAACTGATTACCTGGTGGGGTCATTATTTAGAGAGCATAGGCGATCTAGATGGTGCATTACAAGCATATTCTCAAGCCAATGATTTCGGTGAACAAACGCGTTTATTGTGTCACATGGATAGACTTGATGAAGCTGAAAAGCTATGTCAGAAAAATTCTTCCTCGTTGTATCAAATGGCACGGCATTTGGAGGTTCATTCTAAGGAGACTGAAAACATTGTCAAGGTAAATAATAAGCTAAACGTTAATGTATTACAATTATGGTATATACAACAATATACATATATGGATTTAAATATAAGTCACAATGTTCTCCGAAATGGCTGGACCGATTCTTACGAAATTTTTTATGCATGTTCAGTAAGTTTGAGAATCGGTTATTATCTTGCAAACCCTAAGTTATAAGGGGGATCCACCCCAAAATTTATTTTTGGTTTTTATTTTCTATGATACAGCATACAAAAATACATACATGAACACATGAACAACCCCTAATATTCACCCCTCTACGATCAACCCCTATTTTTTTATTATTGTAGATATTTATTTTTATTGAACTAAAAAAAAGTTTCCTAGAAATAATATACATGGCAAAACAAACGTTTGCCGGGTCAGCTAGTATTAATCCGGTAGACTTACTCTTCTTGTAAACCACGGCCCAGTGACTCTTTATGGTCTCAGAAATGTGCCGTTACCATCCCAGAGGTTTATAGAATTTCACTTATATCTATGCTTTACAT